ACACACACACAGGCGTACCGGCCACAGCATCCAGCGGATCGTCGATGTGAAGACACTTGAGAATGATCGAGCTCCACATGAGATAACTTCCACCGGCGCAGGTGCCAATGAGGGCAGACGCCCACGGCCAGTAGACGTTGCAGCCAGCGCAGATGGCGACCTGCCGCGGAAGAACGGCCCTTAACGCTATTCAACCTATACTGCTTCTTACTATTTCTTACCTATTTCTTACCTATTACTATTACCTTATAGCTTATTATTTTTTAAGCCTATGCTTTTTTTGTTGTTCGCATATAGTGTCAATGCCTTTGTTTGAGTATTTTGCGGTGTTCCGAAGCGAGATGTCTGTATCACGACTTATAATGCTACATACGCACGCACGCACGCACGCACGCACGCACGCACGCACATTCACTAGCATATGATATATACAACGTCTAGCACATAAGCAAATATATGTGCGATGAGGGGGAAGAGCTCTAAGGTCGAAGAGAAGTTGGAGGAGAGGAGGAAAAACGTTGTCGGTGTGCAGGATGGGGAATAGTCAGCGAGGATGTGAGACAATGGTTCGCTCACCATGCCCGTGAGTGCGCCGTTGAGTGTGATGAGGATGCTCCATCTACGCTGTATGATCAACTTGTTAACGATAAGAACATTTTCGCGTGCGAAGCTTCCCACTGATCACCCGTGTTAACCTGCGCGACAACGCACGAAAAATCGAAAAGGAAAGTCAAACTATACATTCTGTCACAAGCGTGACAAGATCGCACTACAAATTTAAAAGGTTGCGAGAAAATAAAAAGAGAATGCTAAACGGAGATGAATTGGGTCACGCTATACATTATTGTTTCAAAGTGCGAAAATCAGGTGAAAGTCTTGGAATTTGCAGGACAACAATTGTGTAGTGGTAATCAACGTGACTATGCAGTTACACAAGGAATTACCATGACTCTTGATATGATTTCACCATCGCCTTCTTTCGAGACGCTTGTCAGCGATCCGCCATTAAACGCCAAAAAGCCCATAAGCAATATGAAGCCGCCAAGTGCTGCTAACTGTAATAGATGGAAGGCTATGTATTACATTTTTCCGCCAATTTTTCCCATTATCACTCTCTCTCTCTCTCTCTCTCTTCTCTCTCTCTCTTCTTCTTCTCTCTCTCTCTCTCTCTCCGCTCGTCCCTTCCTGTCTTTCTCTGTCACTCGCTCGCTCTTTCACGAGATACAAGGAGGCCCACACCACAGG